GCGAGATCTAAGGGCCTGACAAAAGCTTTATTTGTGAAATAAGGCTTTGCAGAGGCTTTTGTTGGACTTGATCCCGGACTATCATTATATATACTACTACTGCGGTAGTTACGGTCCAACAGCATCTGTCACTCTGATACTGGCATATAGGCCTGCCTTTCGGGCCAAGCCTAAACTTAAATCTACATTAAACCTACTTTTAAGTCTGTCGTTCTTATATTAGGAATTACGGAATCTGGAAGTTGTCCTGACTGACGACTGTTGTCAAAGCACGAAGAACTAGCGTGTCTGGACGAAAAATAATGCTAATAGAACGGTACTGCAGTTATTGTAATATTGCCGTTTCTCGGAATTTCTTATTGAGTAGTTGCTTTGTAAATTCGTCAAACCATTTACTCCCCATTATGTCACATTACACAGAACATTAATGGCGTCGTAATAGTTGTTAGAACATAGGATTAGTGTACACTGAAATTAGCGTTACACAAATAACGTTAGCACTGACCTGATTACGCGCACAACATAAGTGCTTCAGTTTTCGTTCACGTAAACAACCTATTCTCATAGCCTATAACGCTTTGGGATGCAATGGAAAGAGGAAATGCTATGGCGATGGATAGTTTTCGAAAGGATTTGAAACATAAATAATTTTCATCGAATTAACGACTCGCTGACAGTGTGTTCAACAAAATATATTTCACCCATTCACACGATAAATAAGCTAACAACTTCCGTTTTTTAGTTTCTACATACATATTTAAGGACCATTCATAATTAATTGGGTGGGTGTTGGTGATGATTTTTATGGAGAAGCATGTACAATGTGAATGACCTCCCTACAATTCATGTACAAAGTAAGTGACACCCCCTTTGCATATGTCATATTCAAAATCAATTACACACACAAACACACACACCCATCATTTTAAGCATAATCTTTTTTATGGACAAATTTGCTTACCTCCCCTCTAGTACATGTGTACAAAATTGATGACCTCTACCTTTCCAGAACATGATAGGTGATACCCCTTAAATTCATCATCACCTCACACCCCACATCCCCAAAATATATTAAGGCCATTATTCAATCCCCAAAATGTACAGTAAATTAGCATATTGCTTGCACAATATATTTCTAAGTATCATTTGGGACACTACCCCAATCTGTACCATTTTTAAAGGCTGTCTCTTCTCAACACAAATAACCAGTATCTAAATGATAGATCACATTTTGAAAACACAAGAATATTATTTGAAATTGTGTTTCAGGTGTTGTCAAATAATGTAACTAAGCATGAGTGATTTACTGAAATATTATAAACACATTGAACCATTACTGGAGGTCTGAACTATCTGATGCCAGAAGCAAGGGGGTATCGGGTACATTGTCTTTTAAGGTGGGAGCCTTTTAAATTTGATTACAAATATTCACATTTGTTATTCCAGCATGTGTGAAGGGTTTGCAAATTACATCAAGGCTCGTCACAATTATAATGGACTCACAGTGTCAGTGAACACAGTGTGTATTTGAAATACGGAGACAAGGAATAATTTAGCTTTTGAATGGTAGTCTAAATGGTACAATTGAGATTCTACAATACTTACGAATATTCTCATGTGAGTAGTATAGGGAATAGCGAGAAAAAGACGTATAGGTGCACCTTGCTTAGAAGCTACCATACGGGCTAATTCTGCTATGAGAGTTTGCCCAAAAACTTCGACAAGACCACTTTCGGCAGCTCCCAACGAAGTGCACTCCCAATTAGAGCTATGTGGGTGCATGGATATAGAAACATGCCAGGAACCAAGCTCTCGCGCGATGCCTATACCGAGATCTGATCGGGTCGTTTGTCACTTAGGGAAGCGAAGAGGAAGTACCACATATCGCAAGCCCAATACACAAGAATCCGAGGTGGTATAGACCCCAAGCCCCAGACGCCGAGTACTCCCGACATGGCCGAAGTCTTAGAGGGTCTGCTGGAGAAGTGTCCCCACATATTGCTTTCGGACCGAGAGAAACAAATCCTGGAGCAATCGGGGCACACCTTCTACGAGCGCTACCAGATCCCCCGCCAGTTTCTCGAACTCTATTTGCTGTGCTTTAGCCCACTAGTAGAAGCCGGCAAAATAGTCGATTTCGTCTACATCTACCCACCCCACCAATTTCGACCCTCGGCGGGCAAACTCTGAATCATTCTCGCCGACCACTGCTATCCGGGACCTAAGGACAGACACAGCCGATGCACCGACTGCCTCGCCACTCTATCGGAACTGCCTGCTCTCTTCGGCCCCGACAACTCTACATGCAAGTGTGGAGCCATCGACCACTGCGTCGACAGCAAGAAATGTGTTCTCTGGGATAAGAAAGCGATAGACTACACACCCCAGGAGCGACTCCCACTCGAGGTTCCAGAAGAAATCATGGTCGACAGCTGTTTCATGAATGTAGAGAACCTGTATGACAGCGCCAGCGCTTCCTGGAGCATACTGTACGCACCCCTCATCAGCAAATTGGTGGACCATTGTCCGTGCAAGGAGAAAGAGTCTTGTATCTTCCGGCAGCTGTCGGGGAAAGCAGAGGTACCACAGGGACGGGGCAATATTTGGCATACCCCATTGCCCAACTATGGCGGGTCCAAGGATATGGAAGTGGCATCCCCTCCATGCAGCGAACACCGAAAAGGAAGGAGGAGGAAGGAGTCTACATGTGCATAAGGTTTGCTGTAGTGAGATATGAAGGGAAGAAACGGCTGTTGCTGCAACTCAATTCACCGACTGGGGAAACGATTCCAGTCTACGGCTACAAGATACGAGAAACGATTCGGGCCGCCGGTGGAATAGAACGCCTACGGTTGGTGCGGGGACCGTTTCTTTGCAGGCTCGGTAAGATCTGCCGCTCACCCATATCAAAAGAGAAAGACGATAGAGAAGTCGAGTTGCTGCTTCCAGACCTTGGGCGAGAATAGGTTCTATGGGTCCTTCCAAGCACCGCAGGGCTAGGGAGAGTATCGCTCCTACTCCAACATGGACCGGGGTGCTGTGGTCCAGGCACCGCAGGGCTAGGGAGAGTACTACTCCTACTCCAACATGGCCCAGGGTTCTATAGGTCCTTCCAGGCACCGCAGGGCTAGGGAGAGTACTACTCCTACTCCAACATGGGCCGGGGTGCTGTGGGGGACCTTCCAGGCGCCGCAGGGCTAGGGAGAGTACTACTCATCTCTGGCATGGACCGGGGTGCTGTGGAGGCCCTTCCAGGCACCACAGGGCTAGGGAGAGTACTACTCCTACTCTGACATGGACCGGTGTGCATACCTGGTGGGAAAAAAACAACACATGGTTCGTATAGGCTGCATTCCACACATCTCTTCTCCATGTGGAAGGGATCCCCACGTTTGGTCTTGGGTGTTTCTACCTTCTCATCGGCTGGTGTGTGTAAGGGGTGCACGAAGGGGGAAACTGGTTTGCTGTGCTTCCAGCTCTTGCGGACGACCTTCCAGAGAAACAAGGCAGCTATCGAAAGGTAGGTCAACCTTTGGGCCGATTCTACCATCTGCCGCACCTTCTCGATACCCAGACGGGTCTCTTCTTGTTCCTCCTCGACGCGTTCTATTTCCTCCAGGAGTTCGTCGTCGTCATCATCCTTGTCTAGCCTAGACAAGATGTCCACCAACAAATTCGTGGTTTGCTCCACACCAGCTGACATCGTCGCGTTTTGTTCCAAACGAGCCTCGAGCCTCCCCAAGCGGTCGTAGAACTCTTGGACGGTGGGCGCAGTCGACGGTTCTGCAGCAGGCAATACGCTGCCGGCAGACGTCTCGCTAGCGGGTGAAGGTTCTTCAGCAGGCAATACAGTCGTGCTGGGTGTCGGAGGTTCTACAGCAGGCTCTCACCATAGCTCGTACAGCCTTGTGGACCCAATACCGAATACCAATTTGCTGATGAGGAGTGCGTACAGTATGCTCCAGGAAGCGCTGGCGCTGTCGTACAGGTTCTCTGTACAGCTGTCGACCATGATTTCTTCTGGAACCTCGAGTGGGAGTTGCTCCTGGGGTGTGTAGTCTATCGCTTTCTTATCCCAGAGAACGCATTTCTTGCTGTCGACGCAGTGGTCGATGGCTCCACACTTGCATGTAGAGTTGTCGGGGCCGAAGAGAGCAGGCAGTTCCGATAGAGTGGCGAGGCAGTCGGTGCATCGGTTGTGTCTGTCCTTAGGTCCCGGATAGCAGTGGTCGGCGAAAATGATTCAGAGTTTGCCCGCCGAGGGTCGAAATTGGTGGGGTGGGTAGATGTAGACGAAATCGACTATTTTGCCGGCTTCTACTAGTGGGCGAAAGCACAGCAAATAGAGTTCGAGAAACTGGTGGGGGATCTGGTAGCGATCGTAGAAGGTGTGCCCCGATTGCTCCAGGATTTGTTTCTCTCGGTCCGAAAGCAATATGTGGGGACACTTCTCCAGCAGACCCTCTAAGACTTCGGCCATGTCGGGATTACTCGGCGTCTGGGGCTTGGGGTCTATACCACCTCGGATTCGTGTGTATCGGGCTTGCGATATGTGGTACTTCCCCTTCGCTTCCCTAAGTGACAAACGACCTGATCAGATCTCGGTATAGGCTTCGCGCGAGAGCTTGGTTCCTGGCATGTTTCTATATCCATGCACCCACATAGCTCTAATTGGGAGTGCACTTCGTTGGGAGCCGCCGAAAGTGGTCTTGTCGAAGTTTTTTGGGCAAACACTCATTTTTACTAGGCTGGTAGCAGAATTAGCCCGTATGGAAGCTTCTAAGCAAGGTGCACCTATACGTCTTTTTCTTGCTATTCCCTATACTACTCATGTGTCAATTATCATCAGACAAAAATCAACAAAGTCTGGGTTGTCATTTCAGTTTTTACTGTTCAACATATAATATTCTGCATGTATGGACATTCATAAATATAGACATACATACAGTAAAAAATGATGGTCTCCTTTGAAGAACCTTGATTAACACTTACATCAGATGCATGTTGATATTTTCCACACTTACAATCATACTGTCTGATCAATCATACTGAACAACAGTGAAGTCTGAATATTTTGCCAGTCCTGTGTAAATGAAAATTGCTGCTGCACTAAGCATAATAGTTAGTACTGGAAGCACTGCATGTTTGTCTCTGTGTTGATATACAGTTACTTTCATATTTGGCCTGTGCCCAGTCTGGAGAGAAAATGTTTGGCTCAATATTCTTGCAATCAAAATCATCATGGGTGATTGTTTCCTCCCCAGCGACCTCACTGATGTTACATTCAACATCACAAGTATCCACCAGAATTAAGTGGGTCAGCTGACACAGTCCAGGGAAAGAATTGGTCATACAACATCTGTTTTTCTCTGTTGCCTCAGACGTGTTCATCCTGGAAAACATCAGTGGAGTATTACTATCCAAACTGATACAGGGTAATATTATCTCATGACTGCCAGTTATGAGAAAATGTATTATTATCAGATCTAAGTTACTATTGTAGAGAAAGACATGTCACATAATGAACATATTCATTCCGATAGGTCAAAGGTGGAAAACATTATTCTTAACAAATGTTTCAGCTATGGAGAAGCATAATTTAAATATGCTGACATTTTTTCCTTCTCTGAGTGGCATTTAGAAGTTGGTGTGATGAACAACAAGGAGAGTTCCATGGATATACAACTTCTTTAATATAATATGAGCGACATTGTGGTGTAGCTACTAACACCGTTATCAAGCAAGTAACTCTCCTCGTTAATTTATTTTCTGATACAAAGAAGTGTGTTCAACAAGTACACCATACATTATTCAGACAAATTCATACCAAAAGTAAACAAACACTAACCTGTAGCATGTGTATTCTGGAATCACCTGGGCCTCATCTTTGTGGACAACAGGCACCGGTAGGGAGATGCATTAAAGGTAAAAAGTCAATTGTGTATTAGCATTCTTGGTAAACTTTAATTCAACAATGATGGGAGCAAAGGTGTTATTGTCAAATGTAAGCAACTTTGCAAACATGTATATAATGATCCTAACTTGCTTTTTAAAAGCAAGAAGCAAATGAAAGTTAACCCACAGGTTCACATGAAAACTTACTTGTGAAATGCCAATTACCTTAAAACATTGAAAATAATAAATTGGGGTCTGTTCCAATTTACTTGCCTACTCTACCTGTCATCAGGAGATATAAGCATATGTGAAAATATCACATACATTAGATTTTCAAGTAAATTACTCAATGTAACTCTGTGTCAAACTGACAACTGTATTTAAGATGCATGACCAGGTGTTGTATGAGAGAAGACAAGCAGGTAAAAATCAACAGGCCATATCAAGTGATGAATGCTTTGCTACGATATAATTGAAATATAGTTGAAAATAAATTCAATAGATTAACCTGAAATTAGAATGCAATGGCTGTGTTCAAGTACGGTGGAAAATTTTGAAACAATGTTAACAGTGAATAAAGCCTAACTACTACCGAAACTTTTATCATGTTTATAGCTAATCTTCACTGGGGTGCTGATTTCAGACGATACCATTAGTGGCATTCTACAGATTGTGACGCCTTTGGCTGCACCCTTTGTAAAGCAAAAAGATTGTGTACTGTACGTTTTGATGATTACTACAGTGAGAGGCCCCTAATGTTTAGCGTGAAATGTTTTGTACAGCATGTGTCCCTCTTAAGCAACACATTCTTTTTCCCTGAATCGATTCAAAACCCCTGCTCGTAATTTTGGTTGGCATGCACGTTAACTAAATTTAGCAAGGAGAATAACAATAACAACGTTTTCTTCAAACTGTAAAAGATACAAAATACGTGGTACTTACCATAATTAGTTACAGTAACGAAATCGCTCTGTAAGAAGTGGAAATGGCACACAACACTGAGAGTGAGACCTGCGAGAGCTGATGGCTACTTCATCATGCTTTTGTTTCATTCGTCGCTACTTCGAATGATAGTCAACCACCACTTCAGCAAGTTTTGACCTCTCGGACACGTCAAACCTCTATTGCAGCATCCGGAGGCATGGCAGCACGTTTCAGGCATCGTAATATTGCTGCGCATTTGAAATCGACCGTGCAACAAACTTTAAACACCATCATTATGCCGGAAGTATACTTAGGACCGTAGTGATTGGCACAATCTATTGGCGAAGCTGTAAAGGGAGATAACTGAGGAATGTTACCCATTGTGTGGAGATCTTTCTACTGTGTAGAAATCATTCTTGCCCTGGTTAACCTGTTTTATGAACATGACCATTGCTTCAGTGAAAAAGAATATTATCATCACTGTGTTTATTGCTATAATCATTGCTTTTCTATTATACGGCCTTCGAATTTTTTACAACCACTGTAATACTTTTGTAGCGGTTTGTATTAATATGTAAACTTAGACCTTAATTTTAGAATACAGTTGTTGTCACAATATCACATTGCTATGTTTGTTGATTTCACACCATGTTCTTTTACAGTATGATTGCCAGTTTGCTCTTGTTTCAACTTGGGAATCAGCAAGTAATAATTGAGGCTCCATGCCACTAGGCAAGGAGACCTATTGTAATCTTTCAGATTTTTATTATTATTCAGCCTTATCTTGTACCCAACAAACTCCTGAACCAAAGCTCTGAATCGCTTAAAAAAATTCACCAAGGTGCCTACAGTGCTGAAGTTGTTTGTGCAAAAATCTCAAGGCTCTTGGCTCGAAAGCTAAGGGCAGATTATTCAAAATTAATTTTTAATTTCAATTTCCAAAGTGATAATCTCCGAAACTACATGTCCAATCACTTCCAAATTTCTGGTGCAGGTGCGAAATCAGATTTCCGTCAATTTTAAAGGCAGTTCCCATATGGCTAAGAGGCACCATTTGGCAGCTATATCGACTTATTCACAATTTTCTCCAAAGCAGACTTAGAGGTGGAAACTGAAAAAAACACTTTTCAGGTTCCAGAACACTAATTGTTTTCACTGTTGACCCAAGGATAAGGCATCTACAGCCTGTTAAAGAAGGAACTATTTCTTCTCCCGGACTACTTACAAGGTACCTGACCTCTGTGACCTCAGATATATTTCAGAGATCCGCTCGCGTGCCAAAAACAGGTTCTTGGTTGTGTTTTTTTACGATTTCTAGCCCTCAAATACACTTCCAACACCTGTAACTCTAACACCAACCGTCCGATTTCGACCAATATTTGCCTCAGCATGTAGGCTATCAGTGCTGATTATACCTATGCCAGTATCATAGCTCCTAAGAGAATGGAGGGGCAAGTAAAATTCTAGTTTGCTCACCATAGTTCCTGTCTTCATTGGTTCTCAACAGAGCATAATGAAACCGTTTGGTGATAAGATACATATCCAATCAGCATCTGTTTCCGAAGAGACAACTGTCAGTATCCAAACCAGTGTATACAGACATTTGAATCTAGCTAGCTAGGACAATGATAATTCCATTTTAAAGTTAATGAAGTGAAGCATTCCCCATTACTGGAAGTGACATGTTCAATACAAGATGTACCTTTTAGTATTTTTAAGAACCAGGTGGCAGATGGTATCACTATTTCCTCTGAAACCATATCATATGTTCTCAGTCTCTGTCCAGTCCGAATTTTACAATCGACTATGCTGTTAGCGGAGACTTCTTATGAATGTGAAAATGTTTTTTTCACTTCTATTTAGATATTTCCTGTTGTAATATGGAACAAAGGTATTTCCTAACCAGAAATTTAGCGATTGAAAGGATGATCGTTCGATTGCAAAAATTGTAAAGAATGAATAAGACAAATTGAGGAAGTTCTAAATGGCTAATTTAGTACTTTGGGGTTAAAGCCAAAAAGAATCATGGAACCCGACGTCGCTGCTTGCATCAATATTATGGTTTTCTCAGCAGGTTTTGAGTCAGGGTTATCTCTGCAGGCATGAATTTATGATTTGCATGAATCTATACAAATCCAGTTACATGAAGTCATGGTGACGTTGTTGTCAAATATCAAGGGTGAGGTTATTGTGAAACATGGTGTCATTTATATTGTAGCTTACTGTGGGCACATTTTCCTTAAAGAACAAATAAACTTTGTTTTTTTGTACTCTTTTAACTATTACATATGAAAGATTCGTGGTTAGACCTATGCGGAACACCAAATTCATTCTTAAAAAACTTGTGGTTAAAAGTTGCCTAAAGGTCGCCTGCTTCACTCTCGCCCACCAACGAAACCACAGACAGGTTACATAACTCTGTCGCCAGAGCACTGCCGTGACGTCATATGAGGAACGATTTTCAGTTAGTTGTATAGAAAGTGTGTAGCACGCTCATCATTTTGATTATTTCTCGACATCAACGACAACATGCCGAATCGTTGCTTTGTCGTCAATTGCTCCTAGGGGTCGGGCGATGGTGTCACCATGCACAGATTTCCACAGGACCCCGCAGTTCGTGCTAAATGGGTTATGTTTGTGAGTGCGAAGCGAGCGTTGTGGAAGCCTGAAATGATATCTTACTTGTGTTCAGATCGCTTCACGGAAGTTAAAGAATCAAAACTACTTACTAGTTGTAGTAAAATATGCATATGATTGATGACCATAAGATTTTCCATGACAAAACTTGTAACATAACGATTTCTTCCTTGGAAGCGCAGGTTTTGGTCGGTAACAATAATATTGTAAGTGGTATTATATTGATTGATTCACTGCTTTCCACGAGAGAAATTGTTATGTTATAAGTTATAAGTCATGCAAAATCCTATTGGCCATCAATCCAATACATATTTACTACCAGTAGAAAGTAGTTTTGATTTTGTAACCCGGTGAAAACAAACCTAAATAGCATTTATCCTCAGACTGGCGGATGTTTTGCGACAGCTTCATTTTGAAATCGTGAAAGTGACGGGCTAAAGTCTGTTAGAATTAATGAGATTATGGTTTGTTTTCATCAAGTTAGAAAATCAAAACTACTTTCTACTCGTAGTTAAATATGTATTGGAATCATAACCAAAAGGATTTTGCATGACACAACTTATAACATAACGATTTCTTCCACGGAAGCGAGGTGGGGGTCGAAGTCACAATATACTGCGCGATAATTTTCTTGCTACATTCACATGGTTAATGTCCACGCACCAGTATGTAGATACTAGTCAATGTGCGTCTTTATATTAGGTCTGATCACAAGAAAAAAAATGGTGATTTCCAAAAATTTCCAATTTGGAAAGATGATATTTCCAAAAATTTCCAAAATTGGAAAGATGATATTTCCAAGGCTTGGAAATCTTTGGAAATTTAGGAAGGATTTTACCACTACTTCTTTCAGTTTCTCCTTTTCCCAAGGATCCCCGTGAGTGTATAGACTGTGTATTCGGCCCTCCTAGGAGTGTATTCGTCCTCCTATGCATCAACTATAACGAGGGAGACTATAAGACGCTAGAGATTATTCCTGGTATAACTTCTCGCCTGCATCCTTGTTGTTCTAGGTGTCAAAAATTGGCATTAACTGTCATATTTGCCCTGATATGGCTAGCATTTTCCAAAATACAGTTTTAAGTGTATGGTTTACTTATTATCCACAAAAGCTAAATAGTTTTTGACCTGTCACGGTTTGCATAAACACAAATTACATAGACCTACGCTACATCATTGATTAAATAAAAGTTTACCGACCCACTGACTGACTGGCCATGGTTTATTACATGTCATAAAAGTGAACCCTTGCCAGGGGAATAATAGGCTTATTGTAGTAGAATACATTCTTTAATGGTACCCTCTAATTAACACCTGACACAAGGGATGGACCGCTTGGGTGGTTTATCATTATAAATCAACAGTCAACAGACCATGAAATGTTGTTTTAAGACTGTGAGCTTAATAGAGAGCAACCCGCTTGGGTTTGTGGTCAGAGACGGTGTTATGCAGTTGGTGTATTCACCAAATATCATGAACTTAATAACAGATAATTGGTTATATTGTCCACACACAGGCGGACTGGGGCAAAAAGAACCCAAATGAATCCCTTCTTAAAACTTCATAGTGTAACTAATTAATTTGGTCATATACAATAAAAGGTGACTAAATGTTTAATTTTAGATAACGCTAAATAATTTCTAGAGAAACCACTACACAAGTTCATATCACAGATGATTCCAGAGACAAATAGTTTATGAGATTCTAGTTTATGAAAAGCATTAAATTCCAAACAAGCCAATCTGTTCTCTAATGCTCGGAATTATTACCACTTACATACCATAGTTTGAGATGTCGACTCAGGAAGCCAACCTTCGATTCTTATAAGGCTCAGGACATTGACAAGGGGTACGCTTTTAAAGTTTGGGTGTTATTTTAGCACATGGCTAATCTCATGTGACGGTTATTACAAGCTGGTGGTTGATGGAAGTGAACACATCGCACACTGAAGCCGACCGTAAAACATGATCAAAACAATCATATGGTAAACACATTTAACAAGGCACTGATCCAGAGCAATTTCACAAGACTGGTTGTTGCTTTTGTTATTGCTTTTCTCCCCTGAGTACCCGGATGATATCCCAGTACTTTCGATTGGTTCGCGGACCTTTGCTACGCTAACCCGCATGCAATTGATCGTGATAGGTGTAGATTGATCAACAAAAATAAAATCTTTTTACTCGATAATATTTCCATCATTTTGAAAATGAAATGAAAACACTTTGAAGTTTAATCATCTGCCAGTGGTAAAAAATGTCAGGACTGAAAAAACGAAGTCAATGTATGTCTATATATTTTGTCTTATAATCCTAATTATTATATTGCCATATTTGGCATGCATTTTGAAACTTAATAAAAGCATACTTAATATACTTATAGCGATTTATAACATGACTGTAATATCTAGACATTTTATAGAATGCCAACAAGAATCATATTTCACACAC